CCTCCCCTTAGCTCTCAGCCCCGCTTCCGCAGCCCTATCCGCGTCTCGAGTCTCGGTACGGCCATCGAGACAGCCGAGACCAAACCACGATCCGGCCGCTAATTACTCCCGAGATTTATCGAGATCGGTGCTCCCAGCTAGGTACCTACCCGTACTACGCGAGCGCCTAGGATCCGATCCTTATCACCGACCCTCCTTACGTCTTTTTATTCCTGCCGGACGACGAGCTCGTTGTTCGACGAAAGACGAGTCCGACGCGTCCTTGTAGGAAACCGATTAGCGTCGTTCTATTTCCTTTTTCGCTGGTACTCCTTTCGTTCCTCGACACAGCGTTGACATTTGTTACATGTACGTATGTATGTACTTAAAATCGACGGACGTAGATCAAATAATATAGTAATTGTCCTAGTTTCTACTCGCTGACGTATTTTAGTATAATTTTAAGATTAATCATTTATACATATAATATAAACTTTTTGAACCTTTAACAGCTCGTAAGTCCAGGAGAATAAAGTAAAAATCTTGAAACCATCAACACTTAAAATAATCGAAAAATCTGCCATTGAGTAGAAATTGAAACATTCACTATACAGTCGAAAAAAGAATCGCGAAGAAAGATTGTTGAAGGACGATAAATCGAATAGACGGCGATACCTTCGCGCAGCGTCTTTACCTTCGGTGGAACTCGCGCTCGTTCGTTCGTTAATTCCTAAAAGTGGTCGTTTACGAAGAACTGACCGAGACTGGAATACCATCGGTTCCTCGAGACAGAAGTTTCTCACGGAAGGCGAACCTAGATCCCAGGCTCAAGATTTATACGATCGACGAAACGGCTGAAAGATGACGCCCGATCATCGAGCCTCGAGCCGAGAAAGAGAGAGGAAGATTCACGGAGTTCTATTTACCGAGGATGGATCGACTCGGCACAGATTTACGTGCCTTGTTCGTTCGCGAATCTCAAACTCTCCGAAAGGTCGGAGAAGGAGGTCTCTCCGTGTCTTATTACCTACTTATGAATCTACTCTCAGGCTACCGTTCGGGTATGCGGTCGTAAATCGACCATTGCCTAGACGACGACGGAGATAATCCAGCGTTCCTTCTCGCCGATCGATCCGATAGACTCGATAGATTCCATGGCTTCCAGCCTGTCACGAACCGTAACGTCATCCTCGGTCGTCCACGACCGCGCGTAACGCAGGCTCGAAGCGTGAACAACTTCCAGGTAGAATACATTATACATAGCATCGTACAGAAAATCGAATGCATCGAACCTGGGAATATCGAATGCGCATCGATGCAAGGGAGTGCGGATGGTCGCGAGAATTTACGAGCGAACGTAGACTTTACCGTTTGACCCGCGCCCACGCATATTTAGCCTTTGAAATTTATTTCTCGCGATCCGCGAGATAAATACTGGCGGGAGTCTAATCCAGAAACGAATGAGCATCTTCTCGTTAGTGATGGATGCGCATCGGCAACGAATCCCGAATCCTGAGCTCGAAATTCGCTCTACTATGACTGAGTAAAATATGCAAATAGCAACGGCGCGGTGCCGGAAACGATAGGTGTGGAACGAAATTAGTCGACGGAAACGATGGTATATCTCGGTTTTTAATCTGCGAGACTCTATCGTCTTCCACGATCGCGGATCTCGCTTCCTTCTCCCGAGTATCCGTTACTGCGTCCTTCGCGCAGTTTCGCGCACCCTCGTCGTCGAAGCGTAATCGCTAATTACGAATCGAGTCGAAAACGAGCGGCCGCGCAAGGTACCCGCCCACGCGCGTCAATCGCGAAGCGAACCGCCTAATTACGAATCGCGTTCGAGAAGCACAGGAAAAGAGCTGAAAAGTCGGTTGAAAACCTCGGCGACGAGCTATTCAAGCATAACTGCCGACGAGACCATAAAAGGAATCTTCCGCAAGGATTATGGATATCTGAATTGTCGTGCTATTCGCGGAATGCTGGGGGAACTGCTTGATTAACAATTTTCGTTTTATTGTCATTATTATACATGATATTTCCATTCCTGGTAGACAGATTTAGTACTGTTTTTTAATCTTGTTCTCCTAGGGTAAATTAATACGAGCCAGAGCTGGCCAGAGATTATCGTCCCAAGCTGTATATCTTATATAAAAGCATTTAGCCCGTTTAATAAATAAGTAAATAAATTACTTTCTCCCCGAATAGAAATTAAATTCGCGGTGACCCTTTCCGGAGATAGGCGGAGCGAACTACGAGCGTAAACGTAGTCAAACAAAAATCAATTAGCGGACAAGTTTACGATCGCGCGAAGGACGAACGGCGTGTAATGAGATTTAAATGCAATTCGAGAACGCGGCTCCGAGCACGATCGTTCTTGGTAGCCGGAGAAGGTTAAGCTATAACATTAGCCCCTGTTCGAGGTACGTGCAGCATCGCGAAACGTTAAACGACGAAAAATGTAGCCACCCTCGGTTACCTCCTCTTAACCGTCCCACGTCGGGACCGCCGAGGTTCCTTCGTTTAAGCCAGAGATTGAAGCCAGCGGTTACCCGGGTAGGATTTAATTGCCTATGGTCCGCGGACGGGGAGGAGACAGTTTTTCTCGGATCGAGGCGGGGGAGAGAAAACCACCGTAGTGACCATGCCAGCGGGCAACGGTGGCCGACCAGCGAACGGTCTGATAAATCGTTCCCCAGCTGTTTAATATTGATGATTCGATCGGTGCTTGGGTTCCCGGACCTTAAGATCATCGAGGAGAAGAATTCGTTACCGACAACTCTGGACGAGTTAATAAGGAGGATAGATCCGATCCCGTCTGCGTTCCACGGGTACCGCGCTCGACCCGGCTTGGTGCCATTTGTTACGAGATCGTTGCGCCTAGTCACGAGCGCGTTCGACGCGGAATGTCGAGACAAATGGAAAACCACTCTCTCGTCCTCGTTTCTCAGCCGTACGATGCATGCACCATAATGACTAACGAAATAATGATACGAAGAAAGGTCAGAACCAGAACCTACATAGATTGACCGCAAGCCTCTTTCGTAAATGGGATAATGAAATTGGACTCGCGGTCGATACTCGATTCTCCGGGTGTCAATTGCGCGGATAATTCGGTTCTCAGTCTGAGGTTTCAAGGTTGAAACGCACTGACGTTTCGGTGATAAAGAAACGAGATTCCAGCTCGTGAAGCGTCGAATTTTTTTAATCAGACTGCGACAATACCGATCTATTTCTTAGCACAATTGTGTAAAAAACAATAAGGCAAACATACATATAATACGGAAGCGACGCGGTTCGCGGAACGAAATACCGGAAGCCGGTCTCTCTGGCTAGGTGGCAGGACCTTGAAAAGCGGTGGAACGTCTGCCGGACAAGTCGTCGGCCAGGTTTCTGGTTGCTCGTTCGTATCGCGGACATCGCCGTGTATCGCGGCCCGAAGGACCGGTTGCGACGTAAAGGTCAGGGATCCGCGTACACGCGAAACGACTTTTCCTGCCGGAACGAACTTGCTCGCGTTATCGTACGGATGATGTACGAGCGAAACCTTTTCGTACTCCATACGTATATATCTAAACGTATTCTTTTGTCCGCTGTCGCTAATCGAGGATAAAATCGTCGATACGCGAAATTTCACGACTCGTCTATTCGAGTCGAGAACCATTCAAAAATAGAAATTAGTAACCTTCCCCTCGGTCAACGGTAACTACAAGACGAACCGTGTGAAACATTTCCAAAACATATATTTGAACCGTAGTTGAAAAATCGTGCAATTCGATCCACGAGGGTCAGTCGGAAACGCGTGTAACAGTTCGAACGATCCCATGTGTTCAGGAAATCCCAGTCGTTCCGGGGTGACGCATCTTCGAGTCGAACGTGTTTTCCAAATAAGAAACGACAAGAATCTACGTACGTGTAGTAAATGACCCAACTTCTATTCACGTAACAATTTCTGTTCACTGGCTTTCTTTTGTATAATTTTATGTGCACTCGTAAATCAGTGAGTAAAAATTATGACGTGCAGAAATTGCGATCCTTACTAGACATTTTTTAACGAGAACAAAGAAGTACAATTTCGGCACTGCAATTTCGTATTGAATACGATGGTGCCGTAAAGTATCAAGTCATTATAGGAAAACACGAGGTGATCTGACCAGCGAGATATGAATACGAAGGGAGAAAAGATATAGAGCGAACTCTTGACCTCGGTACGAGCCAGGCCGAAGCTCTGCTCCTCCCCGACCTCCGTTACACAGCCTTGGCCATCGGAGCCCCAATGCCCTCGAACTGAGACCGCGTAAGAACATCGAACAACTACTGGATGAGTGTTTAACGAAACTTATACAATTCTCTATGAAAGTCTCTATCGTCGGATCGGTAAATCGATGCAACGATTAAAGACGAGAGGCCGACATTCGGGAAAACGCGAAGAAATGTTGATCGCAATTGACGAGCGGTCGAACGACTAGCTGGAAGGCCTGGAGGGAAGAAACGGGAAAATACGTGCGAGCGCACGCGAATCAGAGTGAGTGAGAGAGAAAGAAAGGGCGGGAAAGAAGAAATCCAGGAAGCGGCGAGTCGGTGAAACAAGAGCAAAAGGAAAGCCGGTGACTCGAGCGCTTCCAACTGACGCGGCGCGAGCGAATTACTCGAGGCTCGAGACGACTTCCTCGAGAGCTCGAGGATCGTCTTTTAACAACTTTTACGAACCTCGCTCGACGAACGTTCCTCGTCTCTCTTCCATCGGAAGCGCGCAATTTATTCTCTCGGGGATTGATTTACGAACACGCGTATCCTGCGAGAAACTGGTTATCGTCCACCCCTATAACTATAATTTATCCCGTCAACCTTCGCGAATGAAAGAAAAATGTTAGCTTCCACTAAATGCTATCAAACACAAAAATCGAGGAGAAACGATTTCCTATTAGCATTAATCATCGCCGTTACTTCCGGCGAGAAATCTAATCAACGATTAATTAGCCGAATCACGAATTAACCAACGTTCATTCGTTCTGTTTCAGATGGGCACGCCTGCGATCGGGACGATCGCCACCTTGGTCGTCGGCATCGCGTTTATGGTTTCCGTCGCTCACGCTGCTCTGGGTAAGTAAAAATCTCGTCGACGAATCTATCAAGACGCGAACCAAGTTTCAAGGAAATCATGTATGGATTTCAGCTAGGACGGCTTTCGAGAAGTTGACAGACTACGATTACCGTGGGACGACTTACTATAGCGTGAGAAATCTGTCTCTGTACGAATGTCAAGGCTGGTGCCGCGAGGAGGCCGAATGCCAAGCCGCGGCGTTCTCCTTCGTAGTGAATCCTCTGGCGCCGATGCAGGACACCTTGTGTCAGCTACAAAACGAGACCGCGGCTACGAATCCAGCGGCGCAGCCGCAACGAGCCGCGAACATGTATTATATGACGAAGCTTCAGATCAGATCAGGTGAGCGAATGTCGGTGGACTCGAAACGTTCGCGAGTAATACCCGAGTCCGATGAACGTCCTTAAAAGCATTTCTTCGAAAACCGGTACTTGCACCTATGAGTAAATCGAAGACCTACCCGACATCCATTAGAGTGATTGCAAAGCGTAATCGAGCTACTGGCATGGCTTTGTTAACAAACGATAATTACCGCTCTGCGACCTTTCGACGGGTAAGGACGAGCGGCAGAGAGAAAGGCGTGATAATCCGGGTTTAAACGCAGCTAACAAAGCCGGTTGAGAGCAGGTAGGCGTGCAAATATACCAGGAATAAAAACCCAGTAGCTGTTCGTCTCGAGCGGCTGGGTGGATTCGTTTACTCGCACCCTTCGCTGTTGTCGAAACAATATTTGCTCTCGCTCTTCCAGTTGTTTTCTCTTTTCTTCGACGATTGGAAAACGAAAAGAACCGAATACCTTGTGTCATTTCCATTTCCCTCGAACTGCGTAAATTTTTTCCTTTTCCGCTACGATCGTTGTCGTCGTACTGTATGAACAACCCCTTGAAACTTGGCGCTTATGAAAGTTTCTACCTTCGATCCTATTAAAGCCGAGAAACGACGAAGACGAAGAAGGTGTCGAACCCCTGGAGATCGACACAATGATCTCGCCCCTCGGTAACACCATGGGCATGGACGGGTCGGATTTTCGCCGGGTTGGAAAATTTCACCGACAATTTGCCAAAGGCCTGGTGCCGAGTGTCTGGTGCCGGCAAACAATGAAAGGTCTACTAGTGCCGTCTCGGTCTAAGCACGGTCTCTGCTATAAACAGGTATCTGCCTGCCAGTCCTCGAGGTGTCGAAAAGATCCCTAGGGGGGCTAAGAAACCCCTAATATTGGTTTAACGAGCCTGCTGGTACCAGTACCCTCGATCCCTTCCAACCGATATCGGAGCTAAGGGTACGGTCGTAAAACTGACGCAATCGCGCTCCGTGGGACGGTTCCAGGTAGTTTCCCATTTCCTGGAAACGACCTGCTGGATTTGCACCTTGTTCGTTCTAGCGAAATATAAACGATAATTTCTTATTTCCTCGACGAATACCATAGCTATCCCTTTTTTATTGTCTATTTATTTCTTTGTAATAAGGAGCTGATCGCTCTTTTGAAACCAAAAACAGAATGAGGTTTACTGTATTGTATATTTGATATACTGTGACACGTATTACAATGAGAGAGACGATACTTCTGGATCTGTTGTAATGGTTAACCGCGTCGATAATTAAATTTGAACAGTACGATGGAGAATGAATATCACAATTACGACATTTTAAAGACTAAAGACGCGAAACGGAAGATCGAGAAATGAAAATTGCGGCTCGACATGAAACGTTTTCTCGGAATCGTAAACCTGAGTGTACGCGTCACCGTTTGGCACGTGCAAAATTTTACGCAACGGATTCCTTCCCGAGGAAACGAAGGGAGGATGATGCCTGACCGCGGCGAGGAACGATTAATTTTAGACTCCGCGGTGACTCATGGCTTGCCGATCGCGAATGACAGAAGTTCAGCGCCGGTAGAACCGTCAACGAAAATATTTTCAGCGGTAACGGAAATCGCGAAGTCCGTCTCGTTTCTTCTCCGATGCGAACATATCCCGCCTACGCTCACTCGGTGCACGACGACGTACGAAAATAGTCCACGGCTGAAAACAGCAAGCCAGCGTATTTTTAAAGATTCCGAGTACAATATTCGGAACACGATTGGAATTTAACTCGTGCTCGATTCTATTCTAGAGAGAGAACGAGTTATTAATAATCCACCGTGTCGTGCGAAACAAGTCGAAACGCCGCGCCACAGGAGGTCTCGTATTGAAACGATTACACACTTATTTCGCACGTTAGCGAGTAGATGGGTATGCGTTTCGGCAAAGACGATCGGGAATTTGCAAGCGACATGAATCATCGGCGCGCGACGGTTCGTTGGCACGGGTCGCGGCGTTAGCGCCGGTTTCGAGGGCGGAACGAACGGAAAAGCAATTAGAGCGCGCGCGGGCTGTTCTGAGCGATACGCGATATTCCCGGTACCCGGCCAAAAGTCACGCCGGTCGTGCGTCACGACGTTACGATGCCAAGTTCTAGTCACATGTCCTCACCGCTCGTGATTTCGGCAGCGACCAGTCCCATGCTTACGCTCGCGTGATCGACCGATCGAGAAGTTTTTCACGCTTCCTCGAAGACCCGTACCTAGAATCCAACGGTTAACTCTATCGTCACCGTAGATCCACGCTTCCACCGTCCACTACTTTTCTTTTCCCTCGTTTCGAACGGTCATCCACTTTTCTTCTTGTCCGTTCCCGTCGTAAAAGGACGACCTAGAAGCAACCTTGACATTTCAAGCATAAAATGTACGTTACGTAGATGAATTCTGTGTAACGCGTTGCGACACGACACGACACGGATAGGCAGGTTTTGAAATTCAAAATTGAGTATTTTTCGAGTGCCAAATTGGACGCAACAGCCAAGCGAGTCGTCGTCGCGTGGGTACCGGGTGCAAGTACCTACACGTGAGAATTGCATAACGAAGAGCGCCTCTCGCAACATAGCTCGCATATACTCGGTTCCTTTGTCGAATGCGCTGACGTCGCGTCCGCAATCAGCAGCTAGAAGCGTCCACGCGTTCATTCCGTACCGCTTCTATGCGAGAACGAAAACGCTCGACGAATGGTTCCATATGTAACAAGTCTCGCTACGTACAATGAACGATTCGGAAAATTGCAATTATCGTTATTATTACTATTGACATTTAAGGATAGAACGATACGCTGGTGCATTTTCTCGTCGATGAGATTCATCCGTTTACCGAAGGATTTTCGGTCCGATAACGTATCTCGGCGCGATCGAGCTCTTCTATTCCATTTAATCTAGACTTCGCTTCCAATGATGACGCGTTTCAGAGAACGTTTGCCTGCGACCGTGGTCATTCGAACGCGTCCCGAACAAGATGATCCGCGGACTGGACAACGCTCTGATCTACACTTCTACGAAGGAGGCCTGTCTCGCCGCCTGTCTGAACGAGCACAGATTCACCTGTCGCTCCGTCGAATACAATTACGTGACGTTACAGTGTCACCTGAGCGACTCCGATCGAAGAACAACCGGCCAGTACGTGCAATTCGTCGACACACAAGGCGTTGACTATTTCGAAAATCTCTGTCTAAAAGGTAAAGACTGCTTTCGACCATCGCGTCGACGGTAATTATCGAGTCATCGCGGAACGTTGGCCGAGACGTGTCGTGTGGTAAATTTTTCAGGGAAAGAAGCGTGCAAGGCTCAGAGGGTTTATCAAATGCCGAGAATCGGCGTAGCCGACGACAAGGTGGCGCAATATGCAGGTTTGCACTATTACACGGACAAGGAGCTGCAAGTACAGAGCGAGTCGGCGTGCAGATTGGCTTGCGAGATCGAGAACGAGTTCCTCTGCAGGTCTTTCCTTTATCGGGGCGCGCCCCAAGGATCCGCATACAATTGTCAGCTATTCCACCTGGATCACTGGACCCTTCCAGACGGACCCTCGACCTACCTGAACGCAGAACGACCCCTAATCGACAACGGCGAGAGAGTCGGGACCTATTTCGAGAACTATTGCGAAAGTGAGGATTGAAACGACCGCGGTTTCCAGGTCTGTTCGTGGAAAGCTTCAAATCGAAATTGAAATTGCAGAGGGTACGGGTCCAGTCGCGGATCCCTTGCCAGTCGTTTTCGAGACCACGGAAGATCCGACGATAAACAACCTGACGAGGAACGATATCAATTGCGACAAAACTGGCACTTGTTATGATGGTACGTAGAAACGATCGGAATCAGCTGCTAGCTGTATTTCGTACACAGTCCGTACGATGGTATAGAATCGGAAGAGACAATTATCGCGATCGAAATATGAATGATTGCAGTGTCAGTCGATTGCAAAGATACTCGGATCGCGGTTCAGGTTCGCACGAACAAACCGTTCAACGGCCGCATTTACGCTTTGGGCCGTTCCGAGACCTGCAACATCGACGTGATCAACAGCGATCTCTTCAGGCTCGATCTGACCATGAGCGGGCAAGACTGTAACACTCAGAGCGTGGTAAGTGCGCGGCACCTATTTCCATAGGTGCGCACACCCACAGGCGCATAAACGCACGCATACGATGGGTGTGCGTACGTTAGTATAATAAGGGATATGCGTATACGATCCGAATACGTAGATACTTTCGTATCCACGCGAGTCGTTCGAATCCTGTTCTCTACAACTATCTACTTTGTTCACCGTAGCAGCGTGACGGTTTTCAGACTGGGATATATTCGAACACGGTCGTCCTTCAACATCACTCCGTGGTGATGACCAAGGCCGACAAGATTTACAAGGTGAAGTGCACCTACGACATGTCCTCAAAGAACATCACCTTCGGGATGATGCCGATTCGAGATCCGGAAATGATCAGCATCACCAGCGCACCGGAAGCCCCTCCGCCAAGGATCCGAATCCTTGATAGCAGGTCTAGAGAAGTGGAGACCGTCCGTATCGGAGACAAGCTAACATTCAGAATCGAGATCCCAGAAGACAGTGAGTCCGAATCTATGAAACAATTTTAATCAATCGATCCGAACGAGTCTCGCTGAGCTCACTTCCGCTTTCCCGTTTTCAACTGTCTGTAGCTCCTTACGGAATCTTTGCTCGAAGCTGCGTCGCCATGGCTAAGGACTCCAAGAGCACGTTCCAGATCATCGACGACGAGGGGTCGGTAGCCTTTTTCGACGCGTACCTTGCGTAAACGAGTTACAAACCATTAATCCTTGTCGTTCGTATTCACAGCTGTCCCGTGGATCCGTCGATCTTCCCGAGCTTCACGCCCGATGGTAACGCTCTTCAGTCCGTCTACGAGGCATTCAGATTCACCGAGTCCTACGGCGTGATCTTCCAGTGCAATGTCAAATACTGTTTGGGACCTTGCGAACCGGTAACGACGCGATGCGAGTGATTATTCACGTTCGTTCATCGAGAGAAATTAAGAAAAAACGTTTGTTCGCAGGCTGTGTGCGAGTGGGGACGCGAATCCGTGGAATCGTGGGGCAAGAGGCGCCGAAGAAGCATCTCGAACGGCACGGAGGAAAAGGCGGAGGACATGACGCTGTCCCAGGAGATCCTCGTCCTCGACTTCGGCGACGAGAAGCAGTCGGACTTTTTCAAGAGCGACGCCAGTATAGACTTCAACGAAGCAGGTAATTCGTAGTTCGACTGATACGCGGTCGTCGAGTTGAAGTCGATGCGATATATTGAACGTTTTCTCTTCACAGACAAGACGGTGACCATAGTGGAGCCCTGCCCGACGAAGACTTCGGTTCTTGTTTTGGGTGTGACCTGCGCCCTCCTGGTTCTCATCTACGTTTCCACGATCTTCTGCTACTACATGAAAAAATGGTTGTCGCCCCGTAAAACCATGCCTTGAGAAAATTTCCAACGTCGCTCGACGAAGGTGACAACGGGGGTAGGAACGTGAAGTAGCGGGAGTTCAAGCTAGATCGGCGAAAAGGAAAAACGTTCCAAAATTAAGCGCGAAATCGCTCGGCTCGCGCGCGACGAATCCGAAAGACGCGCGTTCGGAGCCAACGAGTCGTCGACGCGTGGAAAATTTGCGTTTTCCACGCTATTTGTTCGCGCGTTCCGAGAACAGATGACCGGTGCGCTCGTTTTTTCCCGCGCGGATGTTCCTCCTGCCGATCGATTTCGAATTCGTCGCGATGCGCTCGTCCGAGAGCGATTTAACTATAAAAATCCATAAACTTGGACTCCCTCGGGAAACTCGGTACTAGAATTCGAGACGCGTTTGAGGCCCGAGAAAGAAGAAGGGAAATCAAGGGCACATTTAAGCAAAGAACAAAATTCCGAGTATCGCTCGCGATAATGTCGGATGGGGCATCGCGCATTGTAAAAGTCACGAGTCGTTTGTGCAACGGCCCGAACGGCATCTTTTCATCGGTGATGGTAAAACGCGCCGTCTCCCTCTGTCGTTGCGCGCTCGTAGAACGCTTTAAATATAATTTGCGCGCGACGCTAGACGGTACATATCGCGGGTGACGACGGAATCACGAGGCGTCGGACGCTCTTGTAATGGGCAACCGGCATCGCGAGTATCGGGGATTCGATAGTTTTTTACGTGTACAACGATATCGGTAGTAGGCGTATCAGTTTTTCGGATCATTTTACGGGACAATATCTCTTAATGCGCATACGTATTTTTATGTCTGACTTATTCATTTTTATACATACCTACTATTTATCGCGCGTATCCGATCTTTTAGATCGCATGGGACGAAGATCGCAAGGATCTCGCGTGCAATATCTCGTGGCGAGTCGCGGAATGTTTTCTTTTTTCTCGAGGACGACGAAAACCTGGCGAAATGCGTCTCGGTTCCTCGCATCGAGAAAAATCAATCCTCGACCCGCGGACGACTACGTTCTTTTTCTTCGAAGGCCCAGGAGTCTCGCTTGGTTAATGTTCGAATCGATTCGTCGATCGGGTGAACTCTTCGAAGACCGATCGAGAGAGCCGAACGTTCACCGAAGGAGAGCTCCACCTTAAAGTAAACACAGGGACTCCCTAACGAGAGGAATACGTTGTAACTACACTTTATTTAAAGACATCATAGACACAGCTAACTGTCTTCTTATCCCATAAAAGCTACTTCTGATCGGGTTGCAAGGAGAGCTAAATGGAAAGCGAGAAATTATCTTTTCATAGTATGCTTTCCGATTTCGAAACGTCGTCGAACGGTGAATAAACCGCCCCCAGACCCGGTTCCGATTACTTTTATGTTCATCTTTCCCCAACGGAAATCGACTTGTAACCCGTATCGAGACTAGCAATATTTAAAGGTTCACGCTTCACTAACGTCTCTAACGATACAATTAGCGTTTAAGGTAGGAGATAAATGGAGCATTTAAGCGTACGCGAAAGGAATAGAAAGGAAGAACGAATGGGCAACTAAAGAGAGTACTCATTAATCACTGATGAACCGCAAGAAGCAATCTTATTTTTGAGAATCGATCGGTTATTTCGTATGTCTATACTCTGTGCTATCGTATTTCGATCGATCGTTTCTATCAGTTTGGTACCATTATTTTACTCGAATAGGCCATTTCAAGATTTTTGCGAGCGATGTGCGTTGAAACGTGACGTGGATTTATCCGAATACGCTATCGGTTCGGAGAAATCCCAGTTGCGATAATATCTCGATGTTGCGGAAATGTCACAGAATTACGGATGATTCGAGATTAAGCTTTAATCGAGCGTGATCTTGTATCGAAGCGGAAAATGATGTTGACTGCATTTATCGGTACGATTAAAACGGATTTCGAAAGGAAGCCCCAATTCAGCCCCTGCGTGGGTAGAAACGAGTAAATCGAGTGTACATATTATTGGATCGGTAGACACTCGTTGTCAGATAGAGACACGCATACACGCATCAATATCACACGTACTTGTACTCTATTTATGTACGCGATCGTTTTAATAATTAAACAGAGATCAATTTTGAAGACTCTCTTTCCAATCCCTCCTTCCGTTCGGAAATTGAACGTAATTCTTAGCAAAAGTTTAAGTTAATCAACTCGTCGAATATGCATGTACATGCAATTGAATTGGAAATAGATTATCACGTTTTTCCATAAAAATGAGAACTAGACAAATATAGAACAGTATTGAAAACAAATATTCTCTGTTACGTATCTGACGAACAATGTTTTCGTTACATACGGGAAATTCCGGCGGACTAGTCTTGGGCATCGGCTCTAGACGAACGCGAAAGATCTCGTTGGCAATGTCTCCTCGAAACTCGCTATCATCGGCCGTCGATCGGACGTGCCGTGGAATTCTTACACAATCGAACGCGCGTAAACAAATTGAAACAATTATTGGTCGACGGCCAACGAATGGTCCGGGCTTGTGATTAATCTTCGCGTAGAAGCGAGCGCGCGTGAGTTTATTACGGTGGCAAATAATAATGTGAATCACTCGATACGTTTGCGACCGATGAATAGTCTCGGTCGGCTGTAGATAAAAATAATTGCGTTTAAAAATAGACGACGGTTGCACTCGTCGAAAGAACAATGCTTTTAAAACGAATTAGATGGTTAACGTGCAACGATGATTGAATTTATAAAACGTATCGGTCCTTACGAAGGGTTTGTCAGAGATCGAATAAAAAACTGCTAACAGTTTGCGAACATGAAACGCGTCTAGCATTCTGGTTCCGTGAAAAAACGCGTATCATTGACGAGTCGCGGTTCAACGAGGTTTCAAAGGCTAGCGTTAATCGATAAGAAATTTAACGAGCTTAACTCCTCTCGACCCTCGAAGGCAACAGTTATCTGGACTCCGGATGATAGTAAGTATTTTCAGCCACTCATCGAAACCAGGCTTCGCAACATCGACGAGGCGAACTAAACAGCTGCGAACGAGCCAGTGAGGCTTAAATCAATAGCATGAACAAACGCGAATACAAAGAAAACTTTTAAAGCTAACAATGCGTTTTAAAAAAAGAGGAGTTGCGGATAAATCCCGGAATTTTAGCCGCGTCCTTTAATTTTTTACCGCTTGATCGATAAAGCGAGCCGTAGCGTAGCGGAGCATTCGAGGTCAGAGTACATGTATGTGTGTGAATGAGAGAGAGAAACAGTGAAACCTGTCGTAACGATTTCGCGGTCGAATCGTAGTTTTTCGCGGAAACGGACTACTACGTATGCAACTTGAATACGGAAAATGGTCGCCTGTCAGTTTCGAAAGCTGATACAAGTCATAATCATCCGTGTCGTCCGTCTTTCGTCGTCGAGTCAAAGGCGAGCGCATGGCAACCTCGTCAACCTCGATACGCCTTCGCCAATGATAAGATAAAGGTTAGCGCGTGTGTAAGTACGTTCGCAAAACTCCGTGGGCGTTGTTACATTTCGCTTTGCTCGTCTGCACTTCGATCCTCGTGGCTCGAGTCTCGACGAACGCTCGCTCTTTCGATAACGATGCCAGCTTCTTTTATATATTCCTTCGTTCCTTCTTTGTCCCGAACGAGATAAGGGAAACGAACGGGTGGCAAGACACGCGATATAAGCGTACAGACGAAAACACGAAACGTAGAATCTTTACTGAAAACCTCGAAACGGTCGTGATTTAGCGAATCTCTCGTTCCGCGAGGTTAAGCCTCCGAGTTATCGCAGCCGCAGGTACGTCATGCGCAGGTATGCACGAGTAGGCGCCATCGTGCGACTGCCCACGGAGAACGCGTACGTGTATAAATGTGGTTTCGCGTTTGTATGAGTACGTGTGTACGTACGTGGGCAAACGACGAACGATGCGACCAACTGTAACGTTTGTTAAACCGCTTACGAATTACGTTATTTATATATACATACGTATGCATGGACGTCAAGTACCGCTGATCTAGCTGAAATTTCTTTCCGTCGAGACCTGTTTCCTTTAAGCAACACGCGTTACCGCTATCCTTTCATTAATAATTGCCATTCGATTGAACTTTCATTTCGTTTCTAATAACCCACGATCGGACAACTTGCACATATGTATAGGTAATTTGATTCTGGGGCAATTCTTCAGGTAATTTGATTCTGACTAATTATTCTTCAAAACTACATATTAAGTTCAAATGATGAAATCCGGTATTGTTCTCCGAATATCGTGATGGCATCGTTAATTCAAATAAACGATAACGACATCTTCGCGAAACAGACATTAAATATAATCACTGTTACATAATATCACCCATACGTACATATTTGCTTATCGCTTTTGGCGTAGCACGGAAAAAATTCAACATCGATTAATCTAAAAAGTTACGATTCTCTTTTTGACACATCGCTAAACTAGACAATAATATACTCGTTAATAAATCAAAGTTGTAGTCACGATCGAGCGTTGTTACGCAACGCACATGTTTATCGTTTCGACATGGAGCTAAGAACCAGAAAGACGTTTAAAGCGTATTCAGTTCCGCGACTCTAATTCGAGTCGCCGAGTCGTTTATATTTTATCATTCCGAATCGAGATGAAAATCTTTTATCCGAAATAGAAAACTGATAAAACACGTAAAAGTTAAAATAAGCTTTGCGAAACCCGCATGCAAACATCAATAAATTTAGGAATTCCCAAGCGTTCCACAAATTTTCCGAAATATCGAATACCTACTCGACCCTGTCTGAGGCGTTCGAACGTCGAAGCTCGATATTAAACGTAAGGCGTGCAGTAGCAGAATTCTTATGCATATGTAGTCTGGTTTATCTAAGCGATTAGATCCGAAATGTATACACGTTCGCGGGACAGTGGTATGCGAACGCGAACACCAACGCTTAAGCGATGGGGCGATGGTGCACGTGTGGCGCTCTCCCAGTTAGCGCGTACATAAATAAACTCCGGTTATAAACGCGGCACCGGGATTTTAGCAAGTGCCGCTCTTCGTTGCGAACAAAAGAGGAAAGAATGCGCATTTAATTTCACGTTATTATGTCGAACATTTGTTACGCCTACGATCCAGAGAGCTTCGACGGTGAATCGAGAAATCGTCGGGACCTCCGCGACGAATCAAAGACCGAAAGTATAATTAGTTGAATGGAGCAACGGAGCGAGACCAGGACAGAGTATGCGCGTAGCGGAGCGATATCGCGCGTTGGACGAAAGCCAATCTCTCGCGCTCGAAAGCTCGAAACGGTTTCAGGCTCGGACGAGATTCGATCAATCGTCCGAAAGAAATACTGTACCTGCCTACTACCTAACGCTCGGGTACGCAGGCGACTCCTCGTCTAGCGCTTGCCAAGAACTCCGCTCGAACGGTGCCTCTACGATCAAGCGTATTTCAACGCGAAGCAAACGGAGTAGACTCGAGTAACGGAAATGATGATGGTTTAACGTGGTTTTTGCCAGCGGAATCGACGACCGCTACGCCCTTTTTTTTCACTGGCAACATTCTCGCCTTACTCGTACGGTCGTATGAGTAAGGTAGGGTAAGGGTAAGGGCCACGCGAGCATCACGGCGGTCGGCGGCACGCATCGGACGAAGAAGACAGAGGTGTCGCGAGTCGAGACGAGGCGCTATGTAAAACCTTTCGTCTCGCTTCCTCTCATTCTCGATTCATTCTTATACCATCGAAGATAGGTAAACTCGACTCGTACGATAGAACGTATGTATCTACTACCTGCTTGCGTATATATGTACGCGAAAAGAGAGCAAGGAAACCCAAGGCTACGAACCTGAGAAGACGAATGTACATGGGATGGAAAGAGAGAAAGAGAAAGATTATGGTCGGCGCGGCGTACATCATTTGGGCGCCGAGAAGTCTGGCGCGACCAGGCCAGGCCAAAGGCGCGTCTCTGGTTACGCGACCATTTGGGGCGCCAAGCACGGAGCGGAGGCGAGCGGGAACGACGGGCGGATAAACGGGGAAAACCATAGGAGGGCAAAGAGGAAGAAGGAGAGGGAAAGGTCGGTGACGAGAGAGGAGGAGAAGAGGAGAGAAGGTAGGCGTCCGAGCCGAGCATCGTAGTCGGGTTTTGAACCGGGGAATCGCGTAGGGTGGCGTTCGGGACGGAGAGAAGGGCGAGGGGGAGAGGAGAGGAAAGAATCAACGAAGGGGCCCCTGGCCCCTGCCTCTGCCGGCTACATTCCACTATGTATTCCAGCGAGACGCGAGTTTTCAAACATGGCTACTCGCCACTGAACGCGATAAGTAGGTCCACGACCGATCCTACGACGCGCACACACGCTCGACCTTACGAACCACGTACTCGTAAGCTCCGTCCTTGTCTAATCGACAGGTCTCTCAGTTTCTCCCGGATAATCTCCGCTCTCGGTATGATTCCCTCTCGTCGTAGCCCGTAGCAGCAGCGGCACGGCTCGGTTACTTCCCCCTGAGCCGCTGTCCGCTACTCTATCACACATTCGTACACGGACGCAAACCCAGAGGATTCCCCCTGCCCCTATGACACCGTCGGGTTCCCTGGTGTTCCCCTCTCGCTCCCTGGCCCTCGCGCCGTAACCCGAACAGTCCGGACGGCCCGGCCGCGGCCGCGGCCGACCGAGCTGGCGACACCCTGTCTGGCAAGACCGCCCGAGCACTCGGATGAAGGAGGGGAGCCCTGGCCGCTGCGTTGCCACGTCCTCGGGCTGCGCCTACCTTCGGCCCCAAGGACAAATCCGATGAACGTGCCAGCCGACGCGTCGTGGTGTACTTAGGCGACTGCCGGTCTGCTACCGCCGCACCGCTTTCCACGCGATATGCCGATGCATACGCCTTGTGCCTCACCGCTTACCGATATTATTTCACCGCGATCGTTCTCGCATTCGCTACCCGTCGATTTCCAACTCATGCAACTACGTATATACGTATATCTGAAAGTACTCCGTGTTCTATGTACCCTTACGTACGCGTACGGGTACGTGAGGCAAGTAAATTCCGGATAGGAAAGAGATAAAACGATGAGAAGAGGGGACGTCGGATTCCTTCGACGACTGGTAGAAAATACCAAAAGGATGAGGCACGCTTACAAAACTATGCGAAGGTCCGATCGCGTTCGAACGGCAGGTATCTATCTACATGTTCCTCGACGCGTGTATTAAAGAATCGCCGATCTCCCGCGGATGTATTTAGGAGAGACTGTCGGGTATGACCAATGGTGCGAGAATAACCAACCGAGATTCTTGGAAATGCAGTAGGGTGCTCCTTCGTGGAACCGCAGAAGGATCGGTCTCGGTTTCTGCCGGTGGCGCGAATCGTGGAAATTTACGAGGCCTCGGGTCTCGTTTCTAGCCGTCCCGCTCGCTCCTCTTCTTTACCGAAAGTATCTATATACATGCGTGCAAGTGTACGTATGGCTAACGCGAGGTTTGCGTCATTGCTCGTAGGTCTCTCCGCGTCCGCGTCCGTGTCCGTGTCCGTATTCCGTGCACCGTACACCCCGCGGCCTACGTGCCTCTCGACGACATGGCAACTGCGCTCAAAGCTAAACATATTAACCGTCGGCTCGCGCCGCAAAAACAACATGATCTCATTCCGCTACGTATATGCGAGGAACGTGCGATTCGCATGCACGCTTCGAAATCTCGCTCCACGATAAGACCGAAGGGGTGAAACAGCAACGAGAAAACGATGATTAGACCGAAGGAAAATCGTCGACAGCGGCGAATACACAACAGGCCATGATGACTCGGAACGGTAGCTCGGTAGAACGTCGCCAATAAACAGTAAAGAATAATACGGATCGCATTACCCCGATCCCTCCGGGGTCATAATAACAGGACCGACTTCGACCCTAACGAGACTGCCGCTGCGCGACCAGTTAAGCCGAGCTAACACGGCCAGGGTCGCTTTTCCTGGAAAACGAAATCCCCTCGCCTCTCCCGGACCCTTCCCTTTGTTCGATGCCAATAAAACTTCCTAGACGACTCGCCGCGTTGGCGCTCGATCTCGGCCTGAGGCAGGCTTTCGAGAATTGTACCGTCTACGAAGTCTGACGTAGGTCTTCAACGATTTAACCCAGATAACGCGCCTAATCCGAGTCGTCCCCTCGACTATTTTCTTCTCGCTTGACGTTCTTTCCGTTTCCGCCGAAATTGAATCTAATCGGAGAGGCGAATAAAGGTGGCATTTGGACTATGCGAATCTGTACCACGGAAAATTCTGCGTAACATACGCGAGAAACGTACGAGCATGCATCGAGAAACACGAAGCGGCGAGAGAAGAGAAGGCATGGTCGAAGAATCGAGCACTGAGCAACGAGCGAGGAGAAAGGCGAGCAAAAATCGCGGCTCCATGCTGGCTAGCGCGGTTCGAGAGAGCTGGTATAGAGCGAGGCGAACGGGTATGCGGTCGCTCGTACGAGGTACGGCAGACAACATGGCGCCGAGAGCGTCGTCACGCCGGCGTGACGTTTCCCGCGCGCGTCATTAACGGAAGTGAGCACGCAAAATGGCGGAATTTTACAGTGGAGAGGTGTGAAAGGAAAGAGAGAGAAGAGGGGCAAGAGTGGAAAGAATGACAGAGAGAGAGAACGGCGAGAGGGTGCGAAAGGAGAGGGGGCGGGTGGGGCGCCTACGGGCGCGGGCAGTCAAGCGAGATGACGAGAAAGAGAGGAGTCGGTGGAGGTTAGGTCGGTGGCGCAAAGAAAGAAGAATGACTGGTGGCCGGCGGTGGACTAGCGCCTGGTGCTGTTCGAGGGGCGCTTACTGGATAGAGCAACGAGGACGGACGACACAGCGTCCTCGGGGGGAAGAGAGAAAGCTGGACAGTAAGAGAGAGCATGAGTGGGGGTGAAGCGGCGAGCGACCGAGAGTGCGGTGAAACAGAGAAGAAGTGAGAGAGATAAAGAGAGATAACGGGGCGGAGCGAGAGGGGAAGGGAAAGAACGTTTCAGTGGGAAGCAGCCGCAGTCGTAGCCGATGGTGGGGATGAAAATTAGTTACGGCATCTACCAAGACCTAAAAGGAACTCCGTGCGCGGCGCGGCCAGGCCACTTCGTGCAATGTTACGCGTTAAGGTAACCCCGTGCGTCGTTGGCAGTGCCCGATTTCGAAGCTCGTCGTTGTCGCCGTCGTTCTTGTTCCTGTGTTCGACGTGACAGCCATCGTCACGGTGTTCGAAAGTTCTCGCGTCATCCGTGCGAATACGCGTACGTACGTACAATCGGTAGCGCGTTATGGCTCATGGCGTGAGCGAGGCGCTCGGCGAAGGAAGTTCGGTGAAAATGGTGCAACAGAAACAGCAATCGGTTCACCAGCAGCAACAGACCGCGAGGAAATCGATCGGAGCGATGGGCAGCAGACGGATATTCGCGCCAGCCTTCAAGCTCAAGGTTCTCGATTCGTACCGAAACGACATCGACTGTCGCGGAAATCAGCGGGCGACCGCGAGGAAGTACGGAATTCATCGACGTCAGATACAAAAGTGGCTACAGTGTGAAGATAATCTGAGAAACAGTTGCACCGAGAGTGGAAATACCGCGTCGACGACGGTGATCTCTGCCGCGAGTGCATCCAAGTCTGATAGTGCCGTTGCCGTCACCGTTGCCGTGACGGAAGCCGCGGGGCCTGCCGTGACTCCAGCAGCGCCGGCCTTGAACCTCAGCCTCGCCAGACTGCACGGCGACGAGCTGGCTACGCAGCAAGGGCCCCCACCTCTTCTTTCTCATCCTCCTCGTCCTCGCGGTGGTTCGCCCTCTTCACCCCGATACGCTCCTCCATCCGGCGCCGTCGCCACCGCGACGTCGGTTCCGTCCGGCGTCGCCCGTCTCGGTTATCGCGAATATTCCGGGAATTCGGAGCAACGACATCCGCGAAATGGTGAAACGATAGAAGAACGAGTACGGGTAACGATGGACGGGCGTATTTACGATCGAGAATCCAGCGATTACTACGTTTTAAACGCGGACAACGGCCTAAATTTCGATGCTAGAACCGAGCCGAAAGTTTATCAAAATCTGACATCCTATCGCGTATCTCACGGTTGTTACGACATCGATGAGAAAGAAACCACGATCGCGAGTAATCACTCTCCGCTTCCTCGCAGCAGCGAAGGTCATCATCGATCCGAACAAATTTACGGACCAGTGGACTCGCCGATCGACGGAAAATCGACATACGGATTGCCGCCGCTAGCGCCGTCGGTGATAAAGACGGAGCGAGCGAGCCCAGACGCGGCGGCGACGCCAGGGCCGTGCGAGTCGTCGAGCTCCCCCGGCCTTGCCAGGCTCTCGCTCTCGCCGCCCGTTTCGCTTCCACCCGGTTCCAACACCGTCTCAGAATCGGGCTCATGTTCTTGCTCTTGCTCTTGCTCTTGCTCCTGTTCCTGCTTCAACTCCGTTCGCTTCGACTCGTCGCCACGGTCCTCCGCGAGTCCGTGCCTGCTGCATGTGCACGGCCATGCACAAGCTCGCGGGATCGCGAACGCTTCACCGATACCGGATTCTGAGAATCCGATGCCGTCCATGCTTCAGAGAGAGTCGACGGATCCGACTCTGGCTTGTATCGGGGAGAAAGGAACGAGGAACGTTTTGGAGGAGTCTGAAATCGGCAAGACTGTGGTCAAGGAAGAAGAAATCCATTCGGAGGAAGAGGAGGAGACAGCAACGACAACCATCGGGGAAGAGGAAAGGGAGCCGGCATCATCCTCGTACGTCAATCATCGGCGACCACCTGCCGTTACTGGCTTCGGTCTCGCCGATTCCCGTCCCGCGAGCCCCGTGTACAATCGCGAAGGATACTCGTTGCCTTCCAGCCCCCGCGGACCCGCTAGCTCCGGAAGATCCAGCGCCAGTTGCTCTGACAGCGAGACGGATCCCCTCGATTGCTCTTCCGTCGGTCAGAATTCGTCCACCGATCATCTCGCTCGACGTCGATCCTTCTCATTGCGATTCAAGTTGGATGTTCTCGACGCGTTCCACAGAGACGTCGGCGTGGCTGGAAATCAGCGAGCCACCGCTCGTAAATTCGGTATAAATCGACGCCAAGTACAGAAATGGTTAGGCCAGGAGACGGAGTTAAGAGGCGAGATCGCACTTCGCGGAAACTCACGGCAACGATTGGGCCCTATCCAGGATGCCGCTTCCGGTGAGTCACCGGTGGATCTGAGGACGTCGTACCACGTTTCTGGCTTATCGCACGATCGGAACGAAGCTGAATACGAGCGATCGCCACCGCCGCCGCAGCCGCAGCCGCATGTTTACTGCTTCGTCGTCGGTTCTCCATCGCACGTACCATCACCGTACTACCACCGACAACCTTCGATGGCCATCGACGCAACTTCCGAGACCGAGCCTTACGTTTCTTGCGACTCCTGCTGTATGTCCATGGACGGGAATGCCGTGTCATCGGCCACGTCCTGCTTCCAAGAAGCCTCCTCGAGAGGTTCTTGCTACTCGGACTCGCGCACGAGGGTCTACTGCTATTCTCCGCGAGAATATTGCTCGGAAGTCGTCCCGATTCCCGAAAATTCAGAGGAACCGCCGGCTTCTTCGCCGTTCAAGAGACAACACTGCACTCTCGCCTGTTACTACGAATTGTCTCCGTCGTCGCCGAAGAGGCTTTGCTTGGATGAAACGGTCGGAACGAATCCTTGTCGACAGGCACCTCCACAAGATACGCCGTTGTGCTTGGTCAAGCCAAAGAGGCTCATCGACGCTTCTCCGTCGAGAACAGAACCGGTGACGAGCACGGTGTCGACGCCTCCGGCGTCCGCCGCGCCCCCGACTTCGTCAATCACCTCAAAGAAGGATGCCATCCTGTTCAAGCCGTATTTGGATAATCCAGTGAGCAAACCAGTGAAGGAGAACGCCGATCAGAGGGCCCTGTCGCCGGTCACCAGCCGGAACATCGTCAACAACAACAACAACTGCCAAAGTATCTGCGATCTAAACGAAGGCAGGGGTCACGACTACGCTCTTGAACTTAGTTTAAGACTGCCCGTGTCTTGGAGGACTCACCCGGGTCCGTACGCCGAGTTCCCTCAGGTCAGGAGCGCGTTCGTTAGGTATCCAGCAAGTCCCCGTTACGGTTAATCTTTCGACTGCGTAAACTTGACCGAAAATACTTTCTCGCTTTTTCATTGTTGCATCTTGGAACGCGCGATCGTATCGTTTTTTCTTTAAACAGATTAGAATTTTTCTAAATCGAAGTACCACGGAATCGATGCTAAACGTCCAAGACGAGAATTCTTACGATCAAGCCGACGTTATCGTTAGAAACGGTAGTTCGGAATTGTTTCGCGACATATCGATTCCGTGGTATCTATCGGGCAACCAGGACTTTCCGAAAAGGATCCACCGGGGAAGGATCGATGGGTACGTGATCCGCGACACGTCGCTGTGCCACGTAAATTTATCTCTTCCCCGGATCGTCGGTACCGCGTTACGCATCGCGATAAAGTCTTGATCGGCGATTGGATGGGCCGGTATATACATAGAAGGAGATTGCAATGTGATCGCGTTACTGGTCTGACGTCTTCTTCAAGCTTCGCTTCCTCTGGCCGCGTGAAAACTGAAAATCCCAGTGAAGATACGCGAACAACTTTTTTTCGCAGCCGCTTTATCGTCGAGATTAGCGCGTATCGGCTAGGCCGTTTAGAGGTCGAATACTGCTCACTATAATTGCGGAATTATGTCAGTCCCGCGCGATACCGATCGCGCGAGGAACGCTCTCGAGGCATCGAGGCCGTTGCACAATCGCGTGTCTTAATGTTCCCGGAAAGTGCTTGGATTCGCGGTCGGTATTGGGAACGAAAAACTTTCCTTGTTCTGTCTCCCTCCTCCTTCTCTCTCTTCAATTCCTTTTCATCGGGCGATGAAGCTTTCCACGAAGTGGTCATGGCCTGTTCGTTCCACGCTTTGTCGAGAGTCGACCTCCAGATATCGCTTAATTGCTCAAAGAATTTCTTCCATTCGCGCACCGTGCGCAAGTATTACGACAGAGTCTCGTCTCTGTCTATTTCCTTTTCTCTATTCTTTGCCCGTCTTATCTCCCTTCCCTCTCTGCTAGCTCGTTCACAATTTTCTCTCGACTCGTTCCCGTTTCCTTTCTCCTCGATCAATCGCTCGTAAATGTGCGCGTACGTATCGAACGACTTCATTAGAATTTTGTGAGAAACCGCGCTGTCTCTCGTCCGTCGCTATTTTTATAACGCAACCCAGAGGAGGAAGGAACTGAAAAAGGTTGAGGAAATACTCGACGCAGCAAAAAAATCGTCGCTACCGTTTCCGTTCGTAGCTGAGCGCCCCGTACCGATTCGTGCCTTTTCTCTCGCCGATTTCGGAATAAACGCGTACTCACGCATATCACATAAACGCGGACAATGCTTGTGCGTTATCCATAGATTTTACGTAGTCATATACAGAACTATATTTTGTATAAATTTGTATCTCTCGATCGAAAGTAACGTAAGGAACATCGAACGAAGAACTTTTTACTACCGTCAATTAAGAAAATTTTAACGATCGTACGAACGTAACGCGTAATTCGTTGCGTTCGTACGATAGCGATCGCGGAGGGCGATCCGTCGAAAACGCTCCAAAATACCCGTGTGCCTTATACGATTATACACACGATACATACGCATTAACGTTAGGTCGTGTAGACTCGCGCTCGCGAAAATGGACCACGAGATGTGTGATTTCTTCGATCGGATAGCAAATCGTAACGAGTATCTCTGTTTTATCGAATTTATAACATCATAGGACATTGGTTTTAATTGTGATTTCTCGATCTTTTTAACTATTATGCCCGTTTTTTAATCTTGACAGCAATCGTATCGATCGATATGAAAAAAAGACGAGTCACGTTTTGCCATCCGGTCCTATCGTTGTATAATTTATTCACGCTTTCGGTGCAACGTTTTACCGTACGTTTCACGGTTTTATCAATAAGAGTAAGCGCATACGTATCCCGTCTGGCTTGTTTCGATTCTCGGCGCGATAAGGTCGTACATTTTTATCGTCAAACGACCTTCGCGATATCGCAACGCGACTAATAACGGCGTCTGAATCAGTGGAGACGATTACTGTAAAAGCTCGGAAATACGATCGCGTCGGGCCTTCGGATTCCCGATAATCGATCGACAGTGTCATTTCATTCCGGATAAACGTACGCTATCGTAAGAACCGTGGTACAGCGACGCAGTGGTACAGGGATGGTACGCAGCGCGTTCCGCGAGAAAGTTTACCGAAAATAGCTACAGAGTTCCACGAACGTTCCGCGATCCCGTAATTGAACGGGTCGCTTCGAACGAGAGCAATTTTGTAAATTACCGTCGCAGACGGAGCGCTTACGTCAATGTTTCAATATTCAGGCTCGATCGAGCTCGTTGCAATGCGCGCGGCTAATCTTCGCGCGTCCCGTTATCGCCCTTAAACCGTAAAGCTGCAAGCCGTAACGACGAAAGTACGATCCCGAGAATCGGAAGTTGCCACGATGGACGAAGGAAACGCGCGTTAGCCTTGTCCGTGTTCGCCGATGAAGTCAAGGTGGCAATGTACAATAAAATGTAGCGTAATCGTAAGCCATAATGAATTACATAATGCCATAACAACATTTTACATAATAAACGATAGCGTCGAACCGAGCGACGATGCGACCATGAGAGAAAGAGAGAGTGAATGCGCGTGTGCGTGAAGACAGATCCGAGCGTGTATTCGGCGTGCGCACAGCCCACAAGAGTCTATTAAATGAGGCATAAAGCACTGTGTATTTCCAAAGTCCACCAAACTGTGCGAGGACAGTGAAGGAAACGAAGGAGTGAGAGAGGGAGGGAATCACACGCGAAGGGAGGAAAGTTTGGTGGGCGAGCCCCCGCGCATTAAAGTCTGTAGGCAGAGACGCGTATATGCGCATACGCGTACACGCATGGAATAAATAATTATTACGTTATGAAGCATAATGCTCGTGTATCGTACATGTACAAAGAAATTTCTATATACATTATACATACTATATTATAGCGTTGAAAGATAGACCGAGTTTATATACATATATATATATTATATATATATTATATACATAAATATGTATATGTATACATGATAATTATTATATTTTAATACGAGATCAAATTGTGTAATATTGTAGAACGAAACGGCTGAGGAATAACTCGCCCCGGTGCCTTTCAGAAATCGCTCGTGTGCCTTAATCGGTTCGCCAAGTGGCGAAGAGGAATCGCGAGGAGCAAGGTGTCTCGCGTCGACGGAACGAGCCGCGTGTCCGACGGCTGGATGTATTTTTTACATGTTACGACGACGTACGGTACCTGTGTCATCTCTTCGCGGTGAAAACGAAGCGTACGAAAAAGTACACCGGTGACTCGTCCGACCGTGTAATAATATCGCAATATCAGTATTCAGATTTATTCGTCTATTTATTGGTCACCGTTTCGACCGCGTAAAACGAAAAAATATTGTATTTTGTTCTCGCGTCTCCATTTTTCGTCGTCGATGAATGAGATCGGTTCAAGCGATTCGTTTATTTTCTCCTTCCCTTCGAAAAATATGTATGTCGTCTGTCCTCCGTCGAAACGATAAACGTCGATCGTCGACGATCGACTTGTTCGTGTATTTACGCCGTATCGTAATTTTCCAGTGATAATCAAACGAAAATATGAATAGCCTATATAGTTATGTATTGAGAATTCGGTTCAAATTCGTAACCATCTTCGACATACAATGTAGGGAAGAGGGAGAAAGACGAGCATCGTCCATGGATCTTTTTTTGTACGCTCGATCAAAAGAATATCGTTGTATCAAATAAATACTGTATTATATATACACGCAAGCGTAGGCTACGAGAATTTCAGAGAAAATATAGAGACTATTTTGAAGAAACAACCCTGTTTTGTCATCTGTATCCTATGAAACCTACTTCCTTTTCCAGCACGTAATTTTTAACATCGACGCAAGATTCTCCGTTTATCGAATAAAAGAAGATTTCGTCTTTTCGCGATACGTCACCTATCTACTCTGACGTACTTTCTGCGCTATCATCGAAAAGTTATATTCCCGGAAATTCAATTACATTGCAACGTTCCGTCGTTTCGTATCGAAACGCAATAATGGCTGCGCAATATTTTTCTTAACTACGATTAGTACCAGCAAACTGTTACTCACGCATCGCATAGACATAGACGGATGTGTCGGTACGTGGCAGACCGAACGTCTCGGAAGTCGAGATAAGGAAAGGCGCATCATGGAAGAAATTAAAACTTGATCTAACCATTCGACAAAAATCGACGACGTTGAACGAATGCACTTGCGTCGCTTTACGTGCTTTCGCCCCCGTCGCGAGGTCGAATGCATTTTCATATTTATGTTCGTGCACGTGGTAAATACATGTGTACTTATGCACGGAAATATAACGCGAGGGACAGTGTAAATAACAATTTTCGTCAGTCATCGCGCGTTTGCGAGGAACAGAGAGGCGAGAGATAAGCGGAGGAGGCTGACTCGTCCGTTGAAAGCAATCGCGACGGATGCACGTTGCACGATCCGTAATCGATGCGACCGATGCGCATTGTTTCCGTTATCGTACCGGTTGGTATAGGATCCACGATCGAACAGCGCGTACATACACGCTAAATACATACTACGTACCGCATACTTGTCCGCTAAACTTTCTAAGCACGCAATCGTGCGCGTTCTTGTTCATCGGCCACGGCTACACACTCGCGTCGATAAATATTACGTAAACGTGCTTTTTTCTTTCCTGTCGGCGATCGATCGTTCTTAAGACTGAACGAACTGTTTGAAAGAGGAGAAGCGTGGAAGGAATCGCCATTTATATCAGGCGCATGATATGTACCGTCTTAACGTAACCATATTGCGCATACTTACGCAAAGACGAAACGAATCGCGGTTTTTAACGAACGTTTCTTTCCAGCCGCGGAGAGATCGAAGAATGCAGTGCGTGCAGCTGCACACGTGCGTGTGACGCAACGCGTTCCCATGTACGTATCTCATATTCATAAGCTGCAACCCTGCGGACTCGATTCAATCGGAATACGCGTGTACGCGATAATTAAACCGTGAACGTAATTAATTTCATATGCAACGTGGCCTACGGTAACGTGCATTACATATGTATTTACATGCGACTTCCTTCCGAATGGTTGTAAACAATTGATTCTTTGCCGTGTCTTTCTGGCTTTCATAAGTTGTCAAGTATTGTACAGGTAATCGTATTATCGACGGTGCCAGTGTAGTTACACTGTTTTATCGATGACACGTTCTTGTAATTTGCTTCCGAGATTACCCATCGTTAGAAATATCTTATCGCACCGTAGCGTTTCCCAAGGTTCGGTAATTAATGTTAAAAATCATTTAACGTAATTAAATCGCGGCGTTATCTCCCAGCTCGTAAACATTGTATTAAATGGGCTGTGAAATCCGTATGCAATCGAAAGATCAATCGACGATATTCGTCGAACGGCCCGTAATTCCTATATTAAATCGCAATAACGAACACCGTTCATTTTTATTGAGGCCAGCGCGCGTCGCGCGAAACCAGACCTTGAATCAAAGTATGACTGATGCAACGCTTCGACCAACGCCAATAATAAATGTCACCGCATGGCCTGGTCTAACGCGATTAGGAAGGGACGACCGAAATCAGCTGACCGTAAACAATTACCACTAAAATTGTAGGAGTTTACGCAGGTTCATCGGGAATAAACCCAGTTTTCTATTTCGCGCCCCGTGTAATTATTGTACATACTATTATTCTTCTGTCGCAAGTAAAGGATAACGACAACGGAACGCTTTTTCTCGTTTTTGCTTCGAGTCGTTTCGTACGCGAGAATATTTATAATATTATCCTCCCACAGTGGTCGCGTCTGTTTAGAACAGCGAACACAATTCACGAGCGAATTCCACGCGTCTGGCGTTCTCAACCGGAAACTCGAAAGGGATACCAAAAAGTTCTTGGCTTTCCTCCAATTCTCGAACGAATAACAACGCCTTGTCTTTCTCTAAGCTAAGAGATCACCCCTTCTCGGCGACGGACTCGAGTTTCGTTAGTTATTCCATCCGTGTACTTTCGTCCATTCACCGAATACGATACGTCGGACAGTGTTTACAAATCATCTGAACTTTTAGAAAACTATAAAACCGGTCCGTATTGTATCGATTAGAAGACTCATTTGACAAACGCGAAAGTCGTAATTGTTCGATCATACGTAGCACAGTGTATGCAAATATTATCGTTAGACTTGATTGAAAGGAGAAATATTAAAAAATCGTATCGTTAATCCTCTACTCGCGAAAAAATTTAGATTTTACTCACTTACCTCGTCGATGCTTCGAAGTATCAGAATGGAACGACAGAAAAGGGGTGGAACTGGAAAGATACTGTTGTTGCATCGCGAAAGTCCAGCCGGAGTTTATTTTTACCCTAGCTACATAGATTTTCGATCGTGTCTCCTGGTTATCAGCTCAATGTCCATCCAGCGATGAATTTCCTTCACCGTCTTCCGTTTTACTCTCGTTTACTTTGGTAAACGCCAAACCGAGACAATCCGGAACGCGGTCATTCTTGATCATTAATGTTTACGTGGTCTTATCAGTCTTGCTGGTTCGTCGAGCAAAGGAATTTTCCCGACGATCTCGCAGGTTCCTCGATTCACGGATCATAATCGAATGGGTGTCGCTTTTAATTCGTAAAACGATACTTGTTGCAGGTTTCGTATAGGAGCAACTTAATCAAGAGCCAGTTGTAAATGACGGAGCATTATGAATCGCCCGAGGTGAAGCCCTTATTGACCAAGGAAGACATTCGCGAAAGATATCAGGATACGTCCCTAGTCATATTTAAAGTAATACCGCGTAACCGAATATACATACATATTTACACTCTTAGAACGCGAAATTAAATTCATCTTTAGACACACGTAGTGTATACAGTATAGTACATACGTATTTAGTGTAACATCGTAAACTCGACGTCTAGATACACGTTTAGATCTGGACTATAACACTCGTACAGACATAGAAGAGTACAGAAGGAATTTTCGGCATTATGTTTTGTCATGAAATATGTATCGTAGTTTGCCGCGTCGCATGCGCAATGATTTTTACCGTTACTAACTTCTTTCAAGTCCCGCGCTTTTCTATACTTTTGCGTTAACGTAGATTAGTAAGAGTACCGAATTCAAACTCCAGACTAGTCTGGACGATTGCGCCTGAATCTAAACTTGTACGTACTGTGTCGCAGGAGCAACAGAATAAGAAAGAAATCGTGAATTATTTGACTTTCGGAACGAGCCGCAGGACTATGGAGTATAGCAGTTACGGAAATCAACCTGTCATCGTACGAAGACCGGCCGGATCTTTAACGATTCGCAACGATGGCATCGCTCGTTTCTCGGAAATGTTAACATCGATGCATCGGAAGCCTCGAGACAGTTGTACGATAAGTTGATTTACGATTTAATCGCCTCGTTTCGATGCTAAATTAAACGATCGTATTTTTATTTTATCATATTCGATTCTTCCCCAGTTTTTCCCTTCATCGATCGTTTTCTTTTGCTCGAATATTAGAATTACCGACTGTACGACATTACAAACAATTGTATCTAGACACAACTGGTATCGTTTAAAATAGTTGTACAATACATTTCCTTTTGGACATCGTTCCTTAGTTCGTAATAACTGTTCGTTCAATTTATACATACACGGTAAACATAGTTCGACGTCTACATCATCGAACGTTGCGTTCGCGTGCGTGATACAAGCAACAACGATAGCTTTATCTTATTTCTTAATCGTCATTTTTCTTGACAATAACTTCGTTTACGATTTTGTATAAAATAAATATACGACGTAGGACGCAGAGATGCGTATTATAAAGATCCACGAGTAAGCGGATTTCGATTAAAATACGAGCTAACGTTGGTGAAAGAATACAGCGTTTGACTCACGGTCCGTGGAATTCCCATCGACGATTATTCGATCGGTAGTTGCATACACGTTACGACGTAACGATCAAGTGTAGAAAATTGTCTGGGTAACTCAAATGCTCCGACATCCACTGAAGGGGAGTCTCCATGGGTGGAGTAATACCGTGCGTCAGTACTGTAACTGTAAAACGAAATATGCATTTTTACGTTGGACGGTACGAATGCATGACGCACACGTACGCTTGAATAAATATTTTACACACCATTTTTATTCTCTGGAAATACTTCGTTTAACAAATTTCCAAGCGTTTTCCTCTGACCTTCTTCATTAAGAGGTTTCACGAGTTTCTGTACGTACTTGTCTTCACTCGTGTAACACCTAAACGGTATATACTTGAAACCTTCCTCGGACTCCATGAGTTTTCGATTGACAGACCAGAATTGATCAAACTTGTCATTAAGTAAGCCAGACCATAATTGATTATGATCCTTCTTCTGCATACTAGAGACAACTTGGCTCCTGTGCTTCAATACGTCTGCTTCTTTGATACAAGAAAGAAAGTGTGCTTCTACCACTTCCCTAAAACGTCGTTGCTATGAAATGTCTCATTGTATGTTATGCATGGTAAACATTAAATTGCTTTTTTATTCACTTGTTTTGACAATGCATCAACACGTTCTCTGGAAACTTGTCGAAGTGAACGACAATATTCCAAGGCAATTGAACGTCGTTTGAGTAGATGTCTAGAAGGACACCGATCGGATAATGCCACTTCAAGGGAATACCATTGAACTCTAACCACATTTCGTGCTCCTGTTTACCATCACCTTGTATGTGTCTTATGAAGTGTTTTCGCACCTAACCCAACGAGTAAAAATGCGTGAAAGAACTAAGCACCTGGATTCAACCTCTGTCGTGTTCGTTTCGTGTTATTTACCTTGTCTGTACAAAGCGGGAAATAACTTAACCTAGGTACCATGAGATAAAATGGATCGGGCCCTTGTAATTCGCATATTTCCTCGGAGTCGAGCGTGAAACAAATGGGAATTTTTCCATCCCAAATTTCCCTCAACACCTCCCTGTCATTCGCCATTGCGGTAACGGATAACAATCGTTTATTCTTCTTTCATTCGGAGCTTCGATGACAGTCGAAAGGTTATGTTTTTCGTCTGCTGGCTGCGTCAAAAGAATATATATCAAATATTTAGCCACTCATCCGCCAGATAGCTCCACGTGCTGTAAAATATTAAAGCTCCGAAGAGCCGCGGAGAGCAACAGGTTTTAATTCGTAGCTTGGAGTATTCGAATTTCGAGTTTAACTCCTCGCAATCGAAATTGCCGGAGTATAACTTTCATTTTCAATTTCAGACCAACATATTTCTAACTAGTGGGAGGAAACAAAGAGCACTGAGAAGAAGAATAGACAATATAGAAAGTAGATAAAAGAATATTAAAGAACTAAAATGGAACGAAAATTCCTTTCCCTTCTCATTGTCTTCGATGAGTGATTCAAGCGTCGCGAGTGACTCGCGTAAAAGGAAATGCAGTAACGCAAGAAAATATGGTAGACAAGCAGATGTCGCCGTTACTTTAAATATAAATAAAGATTCGTTATCTGTCGAGCGAAGATGTCGGGCAAGCAAGCATATTATCGGTAGGGACCTTTGAACTTAGAGACGGCAGGAAGAAAAGAAAACTCGCTTCGCCGTGCCGGTTTCTTTTAATCGGAACGATAAAGGTCGGTCTCAGTCGGTTCGTTCCGACCGATTATGATTAGGTAGTCGTGTTTTAAATGTAATCAGTACATAGACACCCGAATCATCGCGAAGTCGACGTCAATCCGAATTACACGTGGCACGTAGCGCGTGACTTCGCCCACTTGCTAGTCTCGGCGTCGTGAAAGGTAAACGAATCTAAATCACGGGCGCCACGTGTAATCGACGCGTCTCGGGACATATTCGTAAATAATACATATCGTGTACAGGTATATACGATACACGACGCACGCTTACGTAAATCGAATTCCACAATTATACCGCGATGGATCGTTCTTTTACGTCACATAACTTAAAAAGTGCGCTATTTGTAAACTTTCACGAGTATTTTGCACATTAAATCGTTTCGGAATTTATGCACGATCGTAAAATCTACCTATTAAACTGTTACGTGAAAATCAGCAAAGGGTTTCGATGCTAAGCAACGATGTAGAAGGAACATTCGAGCGAACGTCCAGCGTTTGTCTCGATGCGAGACTTATCGTTTTTCCGTGATGCGGAATTTTTAATCGCGCATTCCGGTAATAACCAGCGCGGCTTATGTAGAATTTGCAAACGAGCGGCCGGCGCAGCATCAATTTCGCGCACAGCTGCGTACGGCACACGGTTGTTCGTTGCATCGGCAACCACAATCGGCATCTTCCCCTGGTTCTTGACTTTTCGCCATAAATCCATAAGTAGCATTGATAAAGTATCGTAAACCAGTACCTCCAATCAAGGATGGCGGAAGCTCCGTTTTTCGGAATTTCAACGCGTTTCTTTGGATATTCACTCTGTTTTCCACCTCCTTTTTCGTCTAGTTTTCGCGATAAAAATGTCAGGGAGACAGCGATAAAAGGGAAGAATGTCTATCGCACAAATGTAGAACGTTTCGCGTATGCTAATGGTAGACAGCAGCTGCAATAAAAGCTCGATTTATAAAGCAACCTTCGACCTCGATAAATTGTTGACAGCTATCTTCAATTGTTGTAAGTTTCAACGCTCAAGAACGTAACGCGAGTGCGAATGATCGAGTAGCAGTTGTAAACTCGACCGTTTTCAACTTCGTTGGAAGTATCGACGGGACAGGATTCGCTCTGAAATTAGGGCGAAGCTCGGAACATTTGTTTTCGAAATTTTTATTTCAACCGGTTTTACTTCGACCAGGGAAGATTTCGCCATGGATAGTTTTTCACGGGTCCAGCTGCACAAACCTATTGTAGTCTGTCAGCGAAACGAGAGAATGGGAATAAATGAACCGTCGCGCTTGCTCATATGTCTGCGACTGCAGTTAACTTCAATTGACGATCACATGTATTTGTTTATGTCTATTTCTAGTTTTCTACTCTATTAATGATGAATGAATGAACAGCAAGGAAATCATAGCGATGCGTCAAAGTTTAGTGGACGGGCAGGCGCATTCGGTCTCTGGGGTATGCACTACGTAGCGAGTACCGGAAATGCACGCACGACCGACTGGGTGTCGCGACTCGGACGGTACCTACCTATACGCATGTATACGCAACGTGGCGCGGCGTTATGGCCGAACTCGCCCAAAGTGATTTCACGCCCGACGGAGCGCGGAAACGACCGTTTACTCGAGATTTTCGTTCATAAATCAAGTCCACCCTTTTCCTCCACCGATAGTTGACCGAGAGTCACACTCAGGGGGTTGTGCCGCCCCGCCGCGCCGCTCTATTCACGCGCCGCACCCGTTTATCGTGATATACCTACGTACGAATACGTGATATGCATAGGTATGGGCCGCGATCCTGGAATTCGTTCATATGATCCAGCGGTACAGGGATAGGTACCGGAAACGGAAGGGTCGGAGTTGGCCACGATTCCATCGCGACCTAACCGGATTTTTTTAACCGGAAGCTAGCAAATAATTCCTTTCCTTCGATCCAATTTTATCGGATACAAACGTTCACCTTGGCGGAATAATATTCCGACACATCTACACGACAATTTTCAGATCGATGATCAATTTCCGATCGTCATCGAATCTTACCATATCGTTCTAAAAGAACTATCGAACGTCGTGTGTGGATAGAACGTATTTTGATTTAAAGGAAACGAACAGGTGACCGCGACCGTCGACAGACGGGTAGCGAGTGTCGAAACTTAGGAGCGTTCTCTTTATATACCTGTTTCGGATCATTTTCGATGTTATCCCGCGAGTCCGCAACATGTGCCCGACAAGAGGCAGATGGCAAAAAATGCCAAGCCGAGGCAGTAGCAAAAGCGTGTGACGGTAGCGCGAGATGATTTCTTTAAAGAGCTGCGTTCATTAGTTCTCATTTTTTATAAAATAATCACCCGTTATCTAATTTCAAACGGCAGGAACCTCTACCATTAGATAGATGAGACTCCCTCACATAACCAGGTTGCGTCTCGCATGATCGAAGCGTATTAGAATGGAGACGAATAAAAGTAACGATATGATAGGAAATAACAAATAATGTCGAATAAGGGTGAAGAGTAGAGACGCGAAAGGATAAAGACGACGACTCGGTCCCACCTGTACGCGGAGGCAGCAAAGGAGAAGAACGCGTGTGCGCCGTGCGCGACACGCGAGCGTGCCGAATCCAGCTGTCGCGCTCTAGCGAGGAGAAAGGAACGTACAGGTGCGATCGTTAACTCAATTGAACTTTGATAAGTAAAAATACCTAAATGTACGTTTACGGTGCGCGGCGGTGACGGTGGTGGCGGTGGCGGCGACGCGAGCGGGTCAAATTTATCATTGCCGATTGATACGTCCCGTCGTTTGCTCTTAAAAGGATGTGATCGAGCGGTTTCCACGTAAGTTTCATAAATTGGAGGAGCTCGTAGTTGCTCGAAAGTTTCATTCTTGCTACTTTCCACGAAAATCTTGGCAACGAATCTTGGAACGAAGAAGGATCGTTACATTCTGAACTCGAAGAGATGTTAGCGATGGAACGGGAATGGAAACGGAAATCCGGAATGCATGAACGCAAGCACGAGAAGAAAGGTATAGGGACGCGCGTGCGTGGCGCAACGTGTCATTAAATCGAGAAAACACTTGCCGTCCAGGAAGAAGCACCTGACACCGACGACGTCGGTGCCCACGACGACGCAGGGTGGATTTTCAACGGTCGAGGGCCGAGGGCCAACAGGAGGCCCTCTTCGATAGACGATCGATAATGAGACGCAGGTGTTTCCTCTCCCGCCTCGTTCTCGTTCTCATTCCGTTCCGTTTTTTCTTCTTCTCATATTCTTCTCGCCTCTTCCGGTCGACCTTAGCATTTTCCATTTATCGTCGCCGCCATACGTCTTAGGAAGAAGAAAGACGAGGAAAGGACGTCGAGCGCGTTGTTTCCAAGTCGGAGTCGAAGCTTCGCGGGGTGGGAATCGAGGGGTAAGCAACGCTGAAGCAATCGACGGTTGAAAGTCGGTCGGTTTCTCGCGTGGGACCTCAGGGTGGTGGAGGACGACGAAGAAGAAACTTTTCAGTTCTCCGCGACGTTCTCTGGACGGAACCCGCTCGGGGTGCCCGCACCTGCTATACACCTGTTGCTCGTTGCCCGTTGCTACTTCTGCTTCTATTCCCGCTGCCCGCGGACGAACGCGACTCCTTTCTTCAAACGGTCGTAACGGTCCGTTTTATACGTAAAAATGTGATTTTATCTTATTCTCCACCGCGGCGCCCGTTTCATCACCTCATCCAACCAACCTTTCGTTTCGTTCGTAGCGTTGTTGCTACGATCGAGTATGGGTTGCGTAGTTACATAATTGCCCTTGACTCCGTTTCGTTCCATTCTATCTATGTATCTCTTTTAGGTTCCGACCGCGTCTACGTCGATCCGAACTAACGATTACCACGAAAAATGTAGAAATCAAGTCGTAAGCAGGATGAGATTATATAGTAAATGTCCCAATTTCACCTCACAATTTCTACTTACTGTCTTCAGATCACATGTAAAGATTACATATAAAACAGAGACAGTGAATAAAAATTATGTTGTGAACAGAAATTAAGACATTTACTAAAACTGCTCGCGCACGTGCGATTTTCGAACATGGAACAATCCATCCCACATTATCGCGAGGGAAAAATGTTTGATCGCCGAGCGGACGAATAGGTCCTACGAAAACGAGATGCTCGGGAACGATGTAGGAGGAGAAGAATAATAAAGAATAAGAGAAGAAGAAGAGCGAGAAGAAACAGTAGAGAAGAAGGAAAAGGAAAGTCTGATACACTTTTAATTCGGGAGCGAAGGAGCCCCCTGCACAGCAGGTGCACCGCAGGTGATTCTGCTCGTCCTTCTCTCGTCTCGATGTCCCGTCGCCCCGTCGCCCCGTCGCGTCGGGCTTCCTCTCACGGCTGCGTCCGACCGGCACCCTAGCCAGTCCACTGCCTACGTACGATCCGCGATCTCCCACAGTCACAGTAGTCCG